AATTGCGAACCTCCTTCCAAAACCGGGTAATTGATACCGGTTGGAGTTTGTGTAACATCGGTTTCCATCATTTGCCTCAAAATTCTTTCGGGAGCTTCTCCTCCGTCCGCCATTGCGATTGGTTCAATAATGGGTGGATTTTGTTGTAGAGGTGGTGTTTCAGGAATTTCTTGGCGAGGGTCGGGACTTGAATCAGGTTCCGTGTCACTTGATGAAACGGGTTCAACCTCCGAATCCCCATGAGGATTAGAAGTTTGACCACGTTATATTCTCTTTTCCTTCGCCAAACACCTTGCTTCTTTTTCAATTTCCGGATTATAAATCAGAGCACCTGTACGTTGAGATCTGGGCATAGAGAAACAAATTGATTAAAAATAAACCAATCCCCGACAACGGCGCCAAAATTTGGTGGTTGTCGAGGCCCAGAAAATAAAAACCCTAAATATTACACACTAAAATAGTGTATAGTGGTAAATGGATCGAATCCACAGAGATTGGTTCAATTTTATAAATCTATGAAAAATCTCTTTGTAAAAATACTTGTAAAATGACAATAAATTAAAAATGGGGGGTTTGGTATTTTGAAATACTTGAAAATTTAGAATTAAACTATGATTTAAATAGACAATTTCAACAAAAATAAGAGTTTGATGTAAAATCAATAAGAGAATGATGGTTGACTTAAGGTTTCCTCACTTTGACTTTTGATGAACATATCATTAGAATCCAATGGTGCAATACTTGATTTAAATCCTTAACTTGGCTATAGTAATCCAAGAAGCTTGAGATTACCTAGACTTTTTTTTAGTTGTTAAAATGGTTAGAGAAGCTCATACAATTTCCTTAGTGAAAGTCACAATTTCCATTAAGCATGTAATTAGTGAAAGTCAACTAGCATTAAGAATTAAAAAGTCACCAAATCCAAGAGGAGTCAAATGCTTTCACTACCATGTTGGAGGAAATGTTTTTATGATTGTGAGAAGTAAAACTAACACAAAAATCACTTGTTTTTTGCTAATTTGAAGATTCTTTTACTTAATCAAGAAATTAGCCAACTAATCACCACAAACACATTTAAACTCATGAATAAAAACATACAAGTAGTGATAAGATGTTAAAACACAAAACATTTTCATAAAGATTCAAAGACAAGTTCATGGAATCTTCAACATTCAACAATTAGTCAAAGGATTCCACCAAAGTCAACCACAATTAGTCTAGCCAAGCATGGCTAAACTTAAGAAAACAAAGTTAGTGAAGATTGTACCCAACATTTAACAAGAATCAAGATGAGAAAATGATGAAGTTTCTTGAGGGTTCTTGGCCTTCAAAGTGCTCCAAAACTCCAGAGAGAATGAGTCAAAATCAGATGTCAAAGATAAGGCTAAAGAGGCACACCAACCTTCCCAATATAGAGCTCCATTTGAATTTCTGAAAATGCCCCCTGCAGGGATCCACGCGGGCCGCGTGGATATATTATGCGGGCCGCATAAGAGGACGGGGTTATGGCATTGTTCAAATCTTGGGCTTTCACAGCTTAGTCCATTTGCCCAACTTTGGCCCAATCAGCTTTTTGGTCATTTTTCTTCAAGATTTCTTCATTTTGAGCCCAATTAGCCTTTTCTAAACGATCCATAGCTCCCGTAATCGCCCAATCATCCATCTTCATGCACTCGAAAATTCTCCCGCACCTTGCAAATTTAAAGTTTAATTCTTCCAAGCCTTCAAGTAATTGACAAGCCCACTCCATGCATCATCTCCATAGTTATGAAGCCCAAATTTCTTGACGACTTCTAAGCCCAATCGCTTCCCAAATATCCCGCTCCGCTACTCTCCAAAAATCTGCAATAATGCACAAGACCTAGAAAGTACCTGAAATGGTCATAAAATAACAAAAAAGAAAATATGCATGGAAATTAACTAAAATGCGAATGAAATGTGCTAAAATAAACTATAAAAAGAAGTAAAATAAAATGAAGCTATCAGGATAATTGATCAGTCTTCATCTTCATTTCCTCATTGTACACTAGATCCGGACCAAAGTTACGTGATGCCTATATCTCTTCCCAAGTTAGAATGTATGGTGCTTGTGGTGGCATAAGTGGCAGGCATTCAATGTGAAAATGTGAATAAATCCCATCAATTTCTTGATTTTGATAATGCACAACTCCACGAATATTGTCTGAATAATAACCAACCTGACTTTGGAATGGGTCGGTAGGCAGTCCTCCTAATAGCATGTCCTATTGTTGTGGTTGTCCTCTCTTACCTCTTCTGTAACGACCCAATTTTCAAAAGAAAATTTTCATTTTTAATTAATCAAAATACTTTCCACAAACCATGAAATCCCAAATACAATTTTTTTCCAATTCGTAACAATAACAATTTTATTTTAAATCATCAGAGTGTCCCATAAAAACGTCTGAGAGGGAGTGTACGCCGCGCCATTAAGCCTTGCCCTTGCCCTTGGGCTCAGATGTACCTGAAACAAATCCACAAACTGTAAGTTAATGCTTAGTGACTTCCCCAGAGCATACCTCACACACAATCCACATAACACAAATCATATTAGCTATAAAAGCTACATATATCACACAAGCCATGCATACACACATATAAGGATGTCATGGGCTCCCCCACATGGTCTTATACCAAAGTGCCATAGGATCCCCCCATGGTCTTTAACCGACAAGCCATGGGCTCCCCCACATGGTCTTTCATCCGACTGTCATGGGTTCCCCCACGGTCTTTAACTAACAAGCCATGGGCTCCCCTACATGGTCCTATATCCAAGTGTCATGGGCTCCCCCATGGTCTTCCCTGCAAGTATCATATAATCACTATCATACCACTTAGCATATAGCTAACTATCATACCACATATCTGTTGGATTTGCGTCTAAGTCCATAACTATAATTGGTATGTATTCGACCCGACTTGGCATGGTCCATTTGGGTTGCACTTTACCGGAACAATTTATATGGATAGTCTTTTGAGAATAGTATGTTTATGATTCCATATTAATATATTATAAGTTCTAATATATTAATATGGAATCATATTATTTAATTAGTATTGATCAAGAATTAATTTAGAATTAAGTTAGTGACAAAAAAGGAACTAATTAAATATGGACTCTTATATATATATATATATATATATATATTATATATATATATATATATTATATATATATATATATATATATATATATCTATATATGGAATGGGCCAAGTTCATTTAGGTTGGGCTAAGCTTGCATGGATAGTCCATGGAGTTTTTAACCCATGGATCCTATGGAAATGAAAGGTCATGGGTATTAGGGTCTACATGAATGTAACCTTAATCCTCCATACTATATAAAGAGGTCCTTGGCACATGAAATGGCAAGTAGTAGTGAGTGAGTGTTTAGAGGAGGATACAAGAGTGGGCCAATTCTCTAGTGTGCTTACTATTCTCTCAAGTTTTCCAAGGTGTTTTGGTGATTTGTGATTCCACTTGAGGCTTCCACACTATTGGGGCTAAGCTCTTAAAGTTCAAGACTTCAAGCTTCATTAAAAGGTATGTCATCTAACTAGACTTTTGTAGTATAGTTGCTTCATAATAAGCTAGTTCGGATAAAACCTTGGAATATTGAATATTTGCATGTATAATAGAGAAAACATAGATCCAAGGTTTATAGGGTTGTATGTACACCATAGGAGTGTTAGAATGCTCAAAACCCTTCAGTGGTATCAGAGCCTAGGCTTGTTTTCATTTATACTTGATGCAACTTATTTTTCGAAACTAAGAATCTGCCCAGACTGAAAACTCGATGAGTTCTGGCCAAAAACTCGACGATTTCATGAGTTAAAACATGAACTCGACGAGTTCCTTAGAGAACTCGATGAGTTGGTCTTCCAGTTTGCAGATTTTCGATGTTTTTGGCTGAAATTGGACTAGAATCATTACCCTAAGCTGTTTTTGAACTTATAAACCTATTTTTGATGTGGTAATGATTATGGTAAACCAATTTCAAGGTTATCAAAATTTCAAGTTTTATGTGTGTTTATGTAATTCTTGAAATTGTTGATATGATTGTTCATACACTTATGAGTTTTGGTAGATGTAACGTCCGCAGATCTGGGCTAGTCAATTTAGAGACAATGAGCATCAAAAATAAGTTTTTTTGATGGAAGATTATTTAGAAGGATTAATATTAACCAAGTTATAGTATATGTTACAAGGGTTCCGTGCATATAAAGAACGCCGAAATCCGAGATATAACGAAGAAGTTATGGCCCGTCGAAGTTTTACGGCGAAATCGGCACGACACCGCATAACGTAAAAAGTGAAATTTTGATAAACTAATTTTTAGCCTTAGATATCTAAATGAAAGTTGTAATATACGAAACCAAGAGTGTTCATAAAAAGAACGTCAAAATCTGACTTCATATAACGAAGTTATGATTTTTCTAAGATTTGGCATAGGAGTGCACAACCCGAAATTCGAATTTTAGATCAATCGATTTTTGGCCAACGCAACCTAAATGAGAATTGAAGATCTCGTTAATAGTAGCGCAACGGTAAAAAAGAAGCCGAAACGGACGTCCGATGATAAGAAATTATGAATTTTTACGGACTTTCCTGTCTCGGCCTGTTAAAAGGTATAACTTTAAAAATAATGTCAAAATTAGCCGACGAAGTCTAAATGAAGTTGTAGAGTACGTCTCCACCTACGCGTGGATATTAAAATAGCGAACAACGGAGTTCGTAGAACAAGGTTACAAATTATAATAGCATATTTACGTATTAAAATAAAGTATAAATCATATATACGTACACATATATAAACGGGATAACTACAGTAAAGTCCCTATATTTTGGCAAAAGTTTCAAAAAAGTCCTAAAAAAAATTTTTTGAATGAAAAAGCCCAATAAACCGAATAAACCGGAAAATTTAGTCCTTATCATCCGGTGACCCTCATTTTCCCGGTTAAAGAAGTCTACATGACATCTTAATGGTGACTATACCGTTGACCTCATTATTTAGGGTTTTCTTTGAAAACCCTTTTTTCTCGTTCCTTTTTATCTCGACAAATCAATCTCGATTCTGCTCGTGTCCTTTGGCGATGGATGAAGTATTTGAGCCTGGCACAATCGACGTTCAAGTTGATGATTTTGTAAAAACCAAATCAGTTTCAAGATGCAAAGATGAATTCCTTAATGTTCTTTGTGAAGACAGTGATGACGAACTAGTGGAAGGTGAAGGAGAAAATGCTCGAGTAGAACTAGATGATGCGAAAACACTGACGAATCTAGTGATGAAGATGAAATCATATACTCCATCCCTAATCTGAAGGTCAAATGGAAGTGATGAAACCGGTATTGGAGGAGAAAGGTATGAATCTAGACACGAACTGAAATTATGTTTAACAAATTATTCCATCTATAAGGGCTATAAAATTCGTTTCTTCAAGAAGTGTGACAGTGTTAGACTAGTGGTTGTGTGTGCTAGTGATCCAAAAAAAATGCCCTTTTATGGTTCGTGCTTCATGGATGAGTACTGAAAAATCATTCCAGGTGAAAAAGATGAATGATAGGCATACATGTGTTAGGAATTTTAGTAGTTTCAAGGCTTATGAATCCAACTTGGTTAGCAAAGCAGTTTGTGAAAAGAACTAGTAAGGAAACCAAAGTTAAAATGCAAGGAAATGCAGGCAATAATTCAAAGTAAATTTCATTGCACTGGTGTCATGGTCAAAATGTTATAGATCCAGGTGTAGGGCACTGTCCTTAATTGATGGCAATTTGAGTGACATTATGCAAGAGTGTGGGATTATGGACATGAACTGATGAGGTCAATCCAGGTAGCACAGTTAGGATTTCTGTTAATATTAACCCTGATCAGACTACAACTTTTCATAGAATCTAGTGTGCTTTAAAGCAATCAAAGATGGGTGGAAGATAGGATGTCGTAGGGTTTAGGGTTGGATGGGTTTTTTTTGAAGGGACAATGAAGGGTGAGTTACTAACTCAATAGGTAGAGATGCCAAGTAATCAAATTTACCCTATAGCATGGGCTGTTGTGGAGGTTGAAAACAAGGTTAATTGGACTTGGTTCTTGGAACTAGTTAGTGAAGATCTTTCATTGGATGCTGGCAGGGGATATGTGGTCATTAGTGATCAACACAAGGTAATGACAGGTTCATTTAATTTATATCATCTATATAGTTTTTAATAACAGTTACTAATATATTTTTTCATTTCCTAGGGTCTTGTTAAGCAACAAAGGATATTCTACCCATGTAGAGCACAGACAATGTGCTAGGCATATTTATGCCAATTTTAGGAAAGTGTATAGTGGGATACAATTCGAAACATGTTTTGGCTGCTGCAAAATCTACAACATAAGGTGTTCACGATAAACATGGATAGTATCAAGACTTTAAGTGAAGGTGCCTATGATCATCTTAGGCTAGAGAACCTCATTACATGGTGCAGGGCATTTTTAGAGTGGTTTTGGCATGTGCGTCTGTCGAGAATGGGATAGCTGCGTGTTTTCATGCAGTCATGTAGATGCTAGAAAGAAGCTCTTTTGGCTATGCTTGAAGAAACTAAGACCTCTACCATGATGGAAAGGTTCTACAACTTAAGCGAGGAAGCAAGAAATTAGAAGGTGATGTGTGTGAACGCAGCACTTCTAAAGATGGAGGAATTTGCTGAGGCTATAATGTCTATTTTATATTTCATATATACATGTAGCTTTTTAATTAACTGTTATTACATTTATAATAAGATAAATGTTTTATTTGCAGGACTTGGTATGCAGTGCCAAGTGGTGTTATTCATATGAAATTAGCAATGCCTTTCAAAGTTATGGAGTTGATTTGGAACACCATTACTATAGCTGCAGGACTGTGGGATATAGTAGGGATACCTTGTGTGCTGCACAGGTAGCAATCTTATACACCAACCAAGATCCAAAGGAATTCATTAGCACTTGGTTCAGCAAGAGTAATTAACATGGCTACATATCAGTTAACATACTTCCAGTCAATGAGTAGGAAGTAACTTGTGGGAAGAAAACTGGCTATACCAAGCCCCTTCCACCTACAGCTAGGAGGATGCCAGGACGACCCAGTGTCAAAAGAAGGAGACATGTATCTGAGCATGAAGACAAGTATTCCCAAGTGTCTAACAAGGGAAGAACTGTACAATGCAATAATTGTCTTCAAAGGGGACATAATAAAGCTTCTTGCAAAAATCCAAAGGTTGTACTGAGCCAAAACCTAAAAAGAAAATGGGCAGACCCAAATTGGATCCTGATTTGACTAATGGATAGGATCTAGAAGAGGTGATAGAGGTGGGTATGGATCTGGTAGAAGAGGGAAGAGAGGTAGGTGGTGGTAGGGGATCTGGAGGAAGAGGCAAGAGAGGTAGAGGGAATACAAAATTTGGTGAGGGAACTTCTAATCTTGATGAAGAAAATGTGGTGACTCCTACTGTGAGTGTGTGGTGATAATGAAGAGGCAAGAGATGTGGAGAGTCCTGAAGTTGATGATGAAATAAGAGTGGATGTAAAGAGTGATATTGATTCATGAGACAGTCGAATTACACTACACAAGAGATTTTTGGACTGTCTTGGAATCAATGAGGAAGAATTATATGAATTTGAGGGTCTAAAACATGTACCTGTGGATCTTAATATATCACAGGTATGGTTTGCAAGAGCGACAGAATTTTAGTTATTGTGTTTAGTATGCCTAACCATATATTGATTATGCTTGTTGCAGGGTTTTGAATTTCCTAGCCAATTGACTGTAGAAACTTGACTGAGAAGAAGAGGATTTGGAAAAGGAAGGTATGGATCAGGAGGCCTAGGTGAGGAACAAGAAGGTATGGATATTATGAATAAGGATGGTAGGGTCCAGGGGACTCATTGAAGAGGATATGGGTATTAGAGGGCATAGATGAGGAGGGCCAGGAACAAGAAGGTAGGATCAAGAGGGCATGAATCAGGATGGAATGGATGCACAAGGGTTGGATCAAGAAGGTATGGATCAAGAGGGCATGAATCAGGATGGAATGGGTGCACAAGGGTTGGATCAGGAGGGAATCAATGAGAATGGCCTAGGTGAGGAGGGCATGGACCAAGAAGGTATGGATCAGGAGGGCCTGGTTGTGGAGGACATGGGCAGGAGGACAAACCTGAGAAAGAGGAAGGACTTCAGAGAGGATAACAAAAATACAATTGAGAAGAAATTGGTGGTTGTCAAAAAATGGGAAGGGGATGAGTTCATTCCAACCCACTTAGTCTAGATTAGGGTGTTTCTAACCCATCGTTTTGTGAAGAACATGTACAAACTTTTTGGCTTTGGGCAACCGTTGATAGCCCCTTTGTTGATAGCTCCTTTTGTTGATAGCCATATAAATATAGGCTTTGGGCCCCTTGATTATGTTTTGTACAAAACTTTGGTTGATATACATGTTTCTCTGATTAAACATGGTTAATGCATCTTTTAAGTTGATTAACTTGTGTATGTTATGTGTGTTGATTTGCTTCTATTGTGTATGTTAATTGATTCCAACCATGTTTGATTCCTGCCATAAATGATTCCGGTCATGCATGATTCGAACCATACTTGATTCCGGTCATGCATGATTCCAGTCATAAATGATTCCAATCATTATTGATTCCATTGTTTATTAAACATGTTTGATCTATTCTATATTCATTCCATTGTTTATTGATTCAATTAATTAATGATTCCATTCATGTTTCATTCCATCATGTTTCATTCCATTCATTGTTTCATTCCACTCTATTCACTCATGATTACATTCGAAGCACTTATGACTCATACATAAACATAAACTTGTTAATTCATTTCACTTGACAAAAGGGCACAACATGATTTCCATACATCTTCTGTCTATCCTAAAGACACCAAAACACAATCAAA